ACGTCTCTTCTGTGCTGCGGGACGAAAACCCCACCCTCTTCCGCCCCCCCCCCCCCCCCCCCCCCCCCAACAGGCCATGTGTGCAGGTGGATATTGCCCAAGAGTTTGATACAAATGCTTTCAGCAACAAATACATGGCCCCGTTACAGTACATCACATGGAGAAAGATGTTCAAGTCTTTGAATCCAGGTAATTTCCTCTGTGACGTGCTTTATTAGAAACACAAAAGACTTGAGCTAAAAGCCTCAGCGATGGGAGTAATTATAGGAGACATTACTAGTATTATATAAAGATGTTGAGGTGGTAACAGAAGGAGAGTGATGACACCATTGTTCCACCGATGGGATTTATTTTCATTTCAAAATGGGACACGCTGTTGAGTTTTATTACCATTTAATGAATTGTTTCACCCCAAAGGTCCTTCCCCGTTAACGTTCGATGTCGACACGGCACACCCGAACATTCACGTCTCCAGGGACAAAACCGCGGCGGTGGAATGTGACGTCACCATCCCACATATGGACCACGACAAACGTTTCCTGCAGTGCGTCAACATTTTGGCTGCCCAGGGCTTCCAGTCGGGCCGACACTACTGGGAGGTAGAGGTGGGATCCAAAGCCAAGTGGGACCTGGGCGTGGCGTCGGAGGCCGTAGACAGGCACAGTCGGATTAAGCTGAGCCCCGAAAGCGGCTACTGGACGCTGCGGCTGCGCAACGGGAGAGAGTACTCGGCCGGCACGCAGCCCTGGACGAGGCTGCGACTCGGCTCGTCCCCTCACAGGCTCGGGGTTTTCCTGGACTGTGAGGAGGGGAGAGTGTCCTTCTACAACGCCGACGACATGAGTCTGCTCTACTCGTTCACCAACGGGCCACGGGGCAAGGCCTTCCCCTTCTTCAGTCCGTGCATTAGTGGCAGCAGTCAGAAACCTCCGCCTATCAAACTCCTCCACTACCCGCCTGTCGCTCTGTCTGGCTAACAGGAGTGCAACTTAATGAAAAGCTTTTCAGAATGCAAGACCTGTCTATTCACTTATTCACTTTTTATCACAGTTCTGCCATTGTGGTTCTGTATCACAAGAGTTTGAAGATTGTTCTCTTATTGTCCATGCTTTAATGATAGGATATATATGCATCTATTTTCTATCTGAAATGAACCCTAAAAGCTTTCGACATGTTATAAAAATTACCATATTCATAGAACTGCTGTATTCAACCATTTGGGGTTGAATACAGTGAAGCTTAGATGCATCACGGTTTAATTTTCTTCACTGTTCATACAAATATCTGAGCTAGATGAAGATGGTTGACCTTCAAATGATACTCTGCATAATTGTCTCTCAGACTTTCCTGAGGCTTCGCTTGTGAAAAGGTCTTATAATCACCCCTGACTTCAATCATCATGAAGCAATGGTTCACGTCACTGTGAGATATTACATTAGATGAAATGGTTCTTTGTGTTTTATGCAATAGTATGAAATTAAAGTTTTTTTTGCCTTTTTGTTTCAGATGTTTTATGATTAAGTTGTAACACCCAGATGTGACTTCACAACATCTTATGAGTTCTTTAGATTCAATCTTGCAGCTCCTGTTGAGTTGTCATTATGTGTTACGTGGGCATGAATTTGAACATGGGGATATAATGTACACTTTCTTCATTGCTCAAGGAATGACATTAAATGTTGTTCCCCGCAGGATTCTGTCTATGCTGTTTACATTGTTGTGACTGCATGTCAGCTACATGTTCCGTCATTTCCTGATAAAGACCCAAACAATATCTGTAAAACCTGCTGATGCAAGTAATAAACCAAATCACTTTTTCTTTATTAAATAAACATTGTCTTTGATTCTCCTCTGCAGCTGTGACACTGCACTCTTCCACGACCTCACTTGCAATAATCAAGGATGTTATTAAGCATCATCAAAGCAGAACGCACGGCTGTGAGTGCACCAGCCGTCTCTGACACTTAAACAGCAAGAGTAGGCGGGCTCTGGGTTATCTTCACAACCACACTAGAGCACTGATGTCCTGTTTCCTCCTGCCGGGTGAAAGGTCGTATAAACAGAGGGACAGTGGGGGATGCCTCTGGGCTGCCCGATGGGGCTCTGGCGGGGGGGCAGGATGCTGCTGCCTCCTCCGCAGATTGGAAAAGTGGCACAATGAACTGCCAGATGGGGACCCATGCTGTTCCTGCTCAGCAGAGTGGGTGCGTTTATGACTCACTTACAACACTGGACACTCACTTTGACCCATAAATGCAGATTAAAGTCAACTCAATCTCCTGAATTGAAGAGGGCTTTTACTTTATATGAAATCTGAAGAGATTATGAGGGCCTTCATGTTTGTGGTTGCTTTTGGACCCCATGTCCTCTCTGGAAAGCTCTTTGTTCTGCTTGGTTGAAAGAGGATATGTAACTAAATATTTAAATATTTTTAAATTGTGGTGGGTAGCCTCATTAGGGTTAGGGTCATAAGCTGCATGTATCAATATTTTTATATTACAGATGGGAAAATGGGGAGTTTTATCTCACAACTCTACAGTTGTGTAGAGTAAAGAGCACATTATCGTTTTTAGGGTTTCGGTTCACCACTCTCCTCAACTTTGTCTTTAACAGCAGGCAGTTCTCTCCAGCAAAAAAAGCTCTTAAAGAAATGCATCACCCACTACACCGTTTGTATATCAATTACCCACCCATTGTTCCCTGGAATTGTTCAAGAGATCTTTGTTTTTCCCTCACGCCCCCACAGCGAACAAAGAATCCAAAAACAGAGAAAAGTCTTGATTTGAATTTGAAGTAAATGGGGGAGCCGCGTTCACCAGCAAAACGATATCAAAACATCATTTCACAAACGTTCACACAACTTGTGCAGTATAATTCCAAGTCTCATTTATCCAGTCTCACACTTGCGCAGTCTGAAATGTTTTTAAATAAAGTTTTAGCAAAAATGAAACATGGCCTCCGATTACTTCAATTCATGAAGACTTTTCTCAATTTTTTGATTCTTCGTTCGCCGCTGAAGCATACAAGTTTTCTTCAAGAATTCAAGGTAACCCGGGATGTGTAATCGATATACAAATGGTCATTTTGTGGGTGAAGTATTCCTTTACTAAAACCACTGTACCCTACCTGCCCAGCCCAGCACTAGCTGGTGAACATAATGACGCATTTAGCTACGAAGGAGCCCGATATTTTCATCAGGAGTTGGTGGAGACCAAAACAGAACTAAAAGGAGAGTGAATAACAAACTTACATTCGTCTGGTGGACAGGAACACCGCTCCAAATGAATGTCTCTCCGTATCTGCTGAATACAAACAGCCTACCGTTTGCTGACACATTTGCTATATCAGCTTTATATGGTGATAATATATTAACGTTGTGTGGTTCTGCTGCCCTCAAGTGGCAAAGAAAAACAATTAAAACAGCTTCAAATTAGGGTAGGATTGTGAAATGCTCCGTTTAAATTAAGCTCCAGATACCATTTGCTCTAAACTGACTCAGCGCATTAGCTTTTTAAGGCTAGTTAGTTGGTAAATCATTTTCATGCCAGCCCTGCTCCTTCTTCTAGGCAGCACGCTTGCCATAACAGCTCACCGACAGCGAACACGACCTACAACTGATGTAGAATTTTGGCTGCCTCAATCAAAACACAACAAAGACCCTCTTCAACAGTGACAGCTACTTCAGAGTGGCTTGGCAGAGTGCGGTGTTGTGCACAGGCCCATGGGCACTGACTTCAGTGAGAGAGCGAGCGGGGCAGCATGCGCTCTCCACATCCTTCCTGTAGTAGCTGTGGGTCCGTAATGTGTTTCCTGACCCGAGGATGGGCCGGATGGAGTGTTGGCACTTCAAGGACGGGTCCTTGAGTCCGCAGTTGTCTCTCAGGAGCCAGCGGGATTATGAACTGAAAACTTTTCATCTGACGCAGCAGGGGCGATGGTGCTATCCAGCATGAGGGCTATTGTTTGTTATCACTGCGTGTCTGAATGACCCGCCTGGATGCTTATGTGTGCAGTTTATTGTTACATTGGCCGCTCAAGTGTTTTCACGTCTCTCTGACATTATCTGTTTTATATTCATAATGAGATTTGGTAACTCCCTGGACGTAGCTTGGTTAGGCTATCAACACAATTTAGTGTGTTTATGTTCGTCTGAAGCCAAGGGCGCTGCGGGGCTGAAACCAGGGGAACATTTTAATTACAACCATTCAATCACAACATTGTGTTTTCAGGTCAGAGAGGTGGATTTCCGTAAGGGATCTCGGGTGGGGGGGGGGGCATGCCCACAAAAACACGCAATGATCCTTTGACTCCCTGTTATTAGGCGCACTCCTGATGTCTGGTTCTCCATGGCTATGAACTCCTCTAGAATAACAGCATAATCATGTTGAGAAAGAAACATTGTTTTCTCATTTGACAGCTGTTTGATCGCTGGACTGGTGTTCAACAGTTCTGATGGCTCAGTTAGGAAGGAATCTGGAGTACACTCGTGTTATTATTGTTGTAATGGATTTCCAAGAGGAGATAAAGCATGCTATTGATTTTACGGCACAGTTGATTGATTACACTGGCTTGAATGTGCATGCAGGTCCTTCTGATTTATTAATCTGGGACGATTAATAAATGAAAGGCACAGCTGCATCCGACACTCTATCTATGTGCTCTATCACCCAAGTTCACAGCTCTGGCACTCCGTTTGACTTTTTGAAATTTATTTCACAGTGTGCATACACAGGTTTTCAATTTCCCAAATCCTTCTGTGTAAAGTAGAACATTGCTGATGGCAGCTCACTGTGGGCATGTTGTGCTCTTAGTACATGCTTTTCATTCACACTCGCTGAGCAGGAGGGATGTGTGTGGGTGGTGGGGGTTAACAGGGTTTGGACAAGGCTGGAAGAACTACGCAGTTTAGTTTTATTGGAGGCATCATTGCATCTGACCCTTCGGAAGAATAATTACACACTCCTGATAGTGAGCTACTCCCAAGGCACCTTTGCTCAGCTGTAGTTTGGAAGAAGATCATTTTTCTACTTAAAATGAATGTCCGACATTTGGCCCCGAACAGATACAATTGCATATTATGGTGTCAGAAGGATTGGATGCTAGACATATTATTTTGCCGATGAAAGACAGCCGACCAAAGCAGAAAATATCATGTAATCGTCTTCTAATATTCCTCCTAGTATTTTGTGCACTTCCTTGGTGACACTGCTGTGCTCCGGTGGTAGCTTTTAGAAAATCTGATGGTATTGGGATTATCTGCTGAGCTTTTGATTGGATGTCAGGAGGTATTTAAATGGCTTGAAAAATCCATGAAGGGAAAATCAAACCGTTCTGCACTAAAGCAAGAAACGGAAATCCACAGCTCCTTTACAGCCGTTTGTGGTGTTCTCATTGTACTTTGTATGATGCTTTACTTTAGTAAATACTGGTAGCAATACGCAGTAAAAGTCCTGCAGTCAACACCTTGAGTTAAAGTAAAATTTACTCTCAGTTGTCAAAAGTAAAAGTTCTCATTGTGCAGTGAAATTCTCCCTATGAGTGTTTTTACCATTATATATGATGTTTCTGGATTAATAATACCGCTGCATTAATGTGTATGTTGCAATTTACTGCTGCAGATGTTTATGGTTGAGTTTATTTGAACTCCTTCTGACACTGTTGGCTGGTTTAATCTATACAGCCACACATATAAGATCGTCATATGTTTGCAGCTGTCCTGTGAGAACCATGTATCTCTAAACTTTGCATGAGCTCAGAACAACAGCCCTTTGTGATGGTGTGTTTTCCATCTAATCCAAGGGGGATCGAAAAGTAACTGAAGCTCTCAGACAAATGTGACGAAGAAGAAAGTACAATATTTGCCTCTTAGATGGAGTGGAAGGTGCATGAAATGGAAATACTCAAATTAAGTACAAGTACCTCAATCTTGTACTTGAGTACAGTGTTTGAGCAAATGTACTCAGTGACATTCCACCGCTGCCTATACAATGTCATTGATGATTACTATGTGTCTTTAAGCCTGAGGATGAAATGAATGGGGTGTTGCAGGAAAGGGAGTTTGTTATGGCTGTTAGAGACCCCCCTTACACACACACACACACACACACACACACACACACACACACACACACACACACCTCCAATTCAGTTTGTTTTATGCACTGGTTGGCCGGGTGTGCATGCGCTCCTGTCACGAGCAAAGGAAAGGGAAATCGTTGTAAATCCCATTCAGTGCCTTGTCCATCCTTTTGACTAAACGGGAAAGAAAAGACGTTTTTGTTTTTTTTCCCCTTTTCCTCAGCATTTCGGCTCTGCCCTCTCTGTGCAGAGTAGGCTGCAGACAAGGCATCGATTGGCCGAGGTTCACCTGAGTCTCCCCACCAACCCACGGACATTCATTCACACCACCTCTCCACGGTCTCCAGCAGTATTAAATGTAACGAGTTCATTTCTTTATTTTTTATTTTTTTATAAGAAACAGCGCTCAAGCTTCTGCGCGTCTGGACCGGAGATCTGGAGATGAAGACAGACTTTACGCTTTTCTGTCGGACTTTGACTGGAATAGCATATGCCGCAGGTGAGGAGACTTCTATGAGTCTGAAAGTTTTCAGCGCATAACTTTTTTTTTTACGAGGGGATAGGTCGAGCTGACTGTTGACACTGACTTTCGGTAAATCATTGTTTGGAGTTTTATTTCTAGCGTCGCAAAAGTTCTATTCGCGTTAATCTGCAGTGGAACTTAAGCTTTTCCGTATACATGCTTTCTGTTTTATTAATTGTAAATAGGATGGGATATTTCTACATTTTTGTAACGAATGCACCACATTCAATCCAAAAACATGAAATCCCTCCAGGTTATAGTCGGCTTTGAAAACCCCTTTCTGTTTGCAGTCAGTGCACGCGGATTTTCTTCATGTTCATTTATCACTCACACCTGATTGAGGTTTTTGTTTCTCAATACGGGACTGAATTAATAAGGAAGCCAGTGGGAGTCTTCAAGTCTACATGCAGATAGGCACTAGGGGGAGGCATGCTGTTGTTGTGTTTGATAAAGAGGCAGCTGTTAATTGATGATGCTAAACTCAGAAGAAGGAACATAAATGTAAGATTCTGTCTAATATGTGAAATCCGAGTGACTTTACCAGACTGTATGTATGTAGGTCACATTTCAGAGGCAGAGTGGGAGGAGAGCTGTCTTGCCTGGACTGACATGTGGAGGAAGAGGGGGGTCAGAGTGGTCTTTTTTTAATGTAATAGTATTTGTGCAAAGCCAGAGAAAGGTGAGAGAATGTCACTTGCGTCCAGTACAAACCAACTTTGTTTGAAGAACTTTGGGGTTACTCTCACCGTGATCGGCCTCTGCAAGTGCTTTTGGTCCCTTGTGTGTGTTGGTCTAGAAAAAGCATTCAAACTGAGACTGAATAATCTGAAGCACATTGTTGTCATATCAAATACTTGAAACAAGGCCCCCTGAATGACTCTGTTATCTGGCAGTGTGGCTGAGATTGTTTGCATTTTTACCCTGAATGACTGAATGTGTATATTTGAGTTGTTCTTCACTGATTGCTGTGGAACAGCTGTTCATGAAGAACAGGGAATTGTGAGGGGCAGTCACCATATGGCTATCTGAATCTCGACTCCGGGGTGGAGGGATGGCTCTCGCTGCTTTCATAAGTAGCCTATCACGGAGCTGTGCTGGGGGGTGGGTTATGTAGATTTGTAGGAACAGAGCAACAGTGGCTGTTTTTTTCCGGAGAGGAATGGGGACTAATTGCAGTACAAAATCCATTGAAGGGGAATCACTGCCCTAATGGTAATGATAGATTTTGTAATTGAGTCCGAAGTCTCTCGTCTTTTTCTCATTAGTCCACGATGACTGACACGTCTCGTCACACAAACCTGATGTTCCCATTAGCGAATGTGCGGTCTTACCTGTTGAAGGACTCATTGCCACTTTTAGTTCGACCATACAGAGCCCCCCACCTTTCTCAGTCGATGCTGAACACATAAAAGGGAATCTAAATACTATCCTGGAGGCTTTCAATTCAATTACAGCCTCACAGTATGTAACTGTGAGAGTGCCACAATAAGGTGGAGAGGTGAGAGACAGAGGCCATGCACTGGCCCACCACCTTTTCAGATTGTAATGAACATGCCACATGAACGCAGAGCATGACAAATCTCCAAAATAGAGAGCATGCACCTTGAACGCAGCCATTTATCTTTTGTCTGTTCTGCCCGTAAGAGCCTCTCGTTAAATAACCGGGATATCTTTAAAAGTCTCGTTTCAAAAAGATTGAATACAACAAATAACCTTATACTTTAAATACTTGAAATTCTCCGATTCTTCCTAGTCTCAGGGATTTTCTTAACCTTCTTAACCCCCAAATATCTTTCATAATAACACTACTGTGCCGGAGTCGTATGCAAGCATGATGAGCACACTGTCCCATTATGTGTTCGGAGCAAGCCAGCCCAGAAGTCATTGCCATTTTGGGGGCCGGTGTCATCATTTACGCAGCAGCTGCATTTATGGAGCTTCAAGGTTTCACCCCGAGCCATTTTCTACCATCTTCCTGTCACGCTATGTCTCTGGTCTGAATTACGGTAGTTCATAAACATTTATTACCCAGCTAGAAATCCTGTCTTTAAAAAAAAAAAAAGACATCTACTATTGAAATGAATTGTGAATCACTGATTGATTCATCTCTTCTTAATTTCCTTGTTTTTGTTGTAGCATAATTAGCTATTGAAAACCTTCCCAGTCACATATGAAAGCAGTGAATCTTTTTTTTCCTTTTTTTTCTAAAGCTGAGCTTTGGAGCCGAATGGTTTTTGGCTTACTTTGTGTCTTGGGTGCATAGTGTTGATGTTGCTGTTAGCAGAGTGTTTTCTGTACGCATACCTCTGCTTGATCAGATCATCCCAGAAATCTGACTCTCAACTCTGGGTATTATTGTAGTCGTCCACTTATAGAGGTCGAGTTGTTTTAGCCAACAATAGCCCCCTATCCTCTGTGCTGATCTCAGGCGCCAACCTCAGGTTCTCAGATTCTGAGGTGCGGGCCCTCGGTGTCTGTCCTCGCATATCTGGTTCTATCAGCTGGAGAGCAGCTCGGATGTGAGAGGAATGCTGCTGCTGCTCTGTGTGGGAAGCTCTCCGCAGTAAAGTCCAAATAAATAGGGAGTCCGGTGCCTCACTCATCACTGGCATGAAGTAGCGAGGCCCCATGGGCATTTGTATGTCTGGTCACTCACTTTCTCATCATGCTAAAGCACCAACACCCCAAATATGACTAGAGCTGAGAGATAAGCTCTTTCAACACCAGGAATCTGCAGCAAAAGCCAAATATGTGTCGGAGTTGGTGTTTGATAGTTGATGAAAACCATCTGTGGTATTTTTGTTTTCATATTTCTGACCCCTCCATGTCTTCTGTGCCCAGTTTTTAGCAATGCTAGCTGCACGCTAGCTGCCTGGCTCTAGGTGTGGCAATGTGTCTCCGCAGGCCGTTCCACGACTTTGGTCCAGACTGCTACATCTCAACAACTGGGCGGATTGCTATATGACATTTTATACGGACATTCAATTTAATCCGACACATTTGTTGATCCCTGGGCTTTGTCCCTAGCACTACCGTGAGGTTTACATTGTTGTCTTGTTAAGTATCTTGATTGCCATACGATTTGGTACAGATATCCATGGTGCCCAGAGGATGAATCCTCTTTGGTGATCCCCTGACTTTCCATCTGGAGCCACCATGATGTTGACATTTGTGTTTTTTTAGTGAAATGTCTTACCAACCATCAAATAAACACAAACATTTATGTTCCTCTCAGGATGAATTGTTAAACTTCGGTAATCCCTTAACTTTTCATCTAGCTCCATAATCAGGTTGAAATGTGTTCAGTATTTCGGTTTCTGACTGACTACCTGCAAAACTGTAATGACATTCTCATCAGCTACAGCTAGACTTTGTGCTAACTGGTGCTAAGCATCTTAGCATGCTAATGCTGTGCCCAAGTACAGCCTTGCATAGCTGCTAGCCCGTTTTCAGACTCTTAGTTGTGCTAGAAAAGAGCTGTTTTGTTTGACGTAATAAAAAGTGTTAATAGTTGGCCACTCTCGAAGGCAGGCTGAAATGCCGGCCGTCATAGAGAGCGGGGAGATGTGATATGATTTGAATAAGGGATAAAGCACATTATCACACAGCAGGCTCCAACAATGTCAAAGTGTCTTAGCATTCTTAAAGCACTCAACCGGAATAATTACCATGCAGAGGAGGTTCAACCTATTGATTGTCTTTCTCTCTCCCTCCCTCTCTGTCCTTTCTATCATGGTCACATACGCCTGAGATTCATACTGCAGCCATTCAAGCAAATGCATTTTTGTGAGCACTTGAGCTATAACTCAATAAGTAAATTAACATATGCATGAATGGGTGGTAGTGTGCACAATTAAAAAATGCTTTTACCTCGAAGAAGATGGCGTTATGTCACTGCTGCTCACTGTGACAAGAAATGATTAGGAGGACTGCTGCACATTCTTCTGCTCAGCTTACATCTTGATGAATCGGATTGCATTTGACAGGGAGGTGGGTTTATCAGCAAATTAGGCATTCCGGAGTAATTAAGGATTTTGAATATACAGCTTTTTATGCTCACCTATAGGTGCTGAAACATTTTCTTGACGTGCTAATTCAAGGCCGATTACATGAGATTCAGCATCTGTAAAAAAAGCTGGTGAAAAGATGTTTACTGTAAGTATAGCATTGACAGACACCGGAGAGAAATTGCTTTGTGACATCTATCTATTGGCTGATCACCCTACACACGTTCTGAAGGCAGAAACTGGATAAAGGGACACGGTGGCTGTTACATACAACACTCGTGTTGCTAAGAAACAAGCATCATTTAGAGCACTTATCATTTTAACGAGAGCCTCCATTGCCATTACGTTCAAATTGCTACTCAGTCTCAGGCAGATGTGTGTGTATAGGTGTACATATTTCATCGGTCACTCCTACCTCTTGCATTGGGATTGGAGGTCGCTTGAGGTTCATGGGAAAGAGTCCATTGGCAAAGCCTGAGGAAATTGCCATCTTCCCTCCCTTTAGGCAATCAGCACCATAATTGTTGACCCGGCACTCCCTGCTTTGCCCTTGTTTTCTACGGCAACTTAAGCTTCCGCAGTGATTTATTTCACTGGGACATCTGACACGGCAGCAAAGACTTGTTTATGACCTGAATCTCCGGGAAATAGGTAACAAGAGCAGTAATAGGGCTCCTCAAAGTTTGGCCTCTGAACAGTCGCAGCACGAGTTTTAGGAGCTTGCAGGCCATCACAGCAGGCGTGGACTTGGCTAAATTTTGGCATTTGCTTGTACTAAGTGAGATGTTTTAGATGTTTCTCGACATAAATGTCATTGCCAGGAGCCAGAACAAAGAATTTACAAGAGTGCCAGAATGTTTCTGATATCCCTCTCAGCAGGGGAAACCATTTCTCAAAGATAAAAACGATGACATGCAAAAAGAAATGGAGGAAGAGCTTGAGTTGTCCGGTGTGCCTGTGAGGCATACA